CAGAGTTGAAGCCCCCCCCCCAGGGTCCCAGAGCCAGAAAGAGACCCTGTGGGGTCCCTGGAGGGCAAGAATTCAAGGCAGGTGGCAGAGGTCCTGGCTAACCACCCCCCACTCCAGGCAGGCCCCCCACCTGCTTCATTCCCCTAGGGAAGCAGCAGCCTCCTTAACCCACCCCCTGCCACCCCATGCCAGCCACCAAAGGCCACGATTGGGGCCCTGCAAGAATTTGGGAAGCTGCCCAGCCGTGACTCATGCCAAAGGCCGTGGCTGCCGCCTCAGATGTTTGGGGGGGGGACATCAGCAGACACTCCACACACCCCACTTCACAAACAATTTCCATCCTTCTTCCGCAGTGCCCGGGCCCAAGGGATCTTGCCACTCAGGCTGAAGGGAGATGGGTCTGCCCGAGGAAAAAGGCCACAGTAACCCCCTCCCAACGGGCATGGGGAGGGCGCGGAGATTTCACTGTTCTAATTCCCTTTAAATGAGAATCAACATATTCTTTTTGACAAGGACAGGAGCAAAAGATCAGCAGTAAATAAATAAAATAAAATAAATAGCCACAGACAGGGAGCAGATGCCGTGATGGAAGGCAGCTGGCCAGCTGCATCCAGTTAGGAATGCATGGCAGGGCTCAGCAAGAGCGAAAGGGGTGGGTGGGTTCCAAGCCAGGTGGTCTCCTCTTGAGGAGGAGAGGGAGCCTTAGAGGGTGAGGGGGTGTGAGCTTTCAGGGCAACCTAGGAGTAGACAAGAAAAGACTAAGAGGGGAAAGATGGAGAGACCTTTGAATCTTAGGGACTAGAATCTTAGAGCAGATGCCAATGCTAAATGTGGCAACCTGCCTGTGGGGGGAAAAAGGCGCTCTGGGACGCAGGCAGAGGACTTTTTTCTGCAAGATGAACAGTCGGTGCCAGGTCCCAAAGAGAGAACTCTGGAGGCGGACGAGGGAGGGAGGCCAAGCCAGAAATGGCCTGGCTGGGGAAGGAACTGAGGCTCTTCCCAATCTTGGATCAAAGGAGAAGGCAGCCTGGCTGTTTTCAAGGCGAAAACGTGCCTCACTATACAGGAGCCGCCTGGGCGCTCAGCACTTCGGCCGGACCCTCAAGCACGTCAGCAGGCCTTGCGCAGGAAAACCCAGCATGGCGGAAGTCTGCGCCCTTCTCTCACTGGTAATCCAGTGGATCTGGCTGGCCTGCTTCGGGATCTTCCAGGGAACCAGGCCCTCCCGGCAGAAAATTAGAAACCAAGCATTCCTGGGGAGGGAAAGAGGGAGGGATGCATGGTGATAGGGCAGGAGAGACACCCAAGATTTGGCAGGGGCGATTGTGCCCCTCACTTATAAATAGGGGCCCAGCTATCCTGAACCGAAGGAAAGCCCCCTCCCCAGTTCTCAGCAGGCGACCCACCCACCAAATCACCCACCAGAGTCCCCACCTTTCCGGGCACTCGAAAGTTTTGCAACTGACTCTTTGGTGAAGCAGGCCCTGGTAATGGAATCGGAACTAACTCTCTCGCTCTCTCTCAAAAAAAGTGTGTCTACTTTAAGAAAGGTTTTTATTTTTTGATCCTTGGGAAAACAGTATAAAATTTACTGATTTAATGTACACAGCCTTCTGCTGCGGGATAAATATTACTCTTATACAAAGGGGTGTTGCTAAGGAGCTGCAGCGGCGCTTTTGAAAGGAAGCCTCTTAAGGAAACCTTTTCTCAGAGACAGAGAAGAAAAATGGGCTTTGCTCCGTCGGAAGGTTGTTTTAGATACTTCTTCCAAGTTCCCCATCCACAGCACCAGCAGCCGACGAAGGAAAGGAAAGGGGCTCCAGCCGCCATGGGGGGGTCGCACAGGGAGGTGGGCAAACCAGCGGCCCCATTTCACCGAAATCCCTCTGCTAACGGCAACCTCAGGAGCCTCCGGGGTGCACATCGTGGTCAGGAGATGTAGGAGACCTCCCCTCTCTCCATGGCATGCCGCCCAGGATTCTCTGGAAGTGCCGACCTGTGGGCTGAACTGGGCCGGGCTCAAGAACTGCACTGCCAAATGTGGGGCGTCCTCACCCGGTCTGCCCTCTCCCAAGTGGGCGAGAAGACCCTCTGCAGGGCTCCGGTGCTGGACAGCGGAAAAAACGCTCTTTGCCAGAGCCCTGCTCTGGGCCCACGGGAGGGTTCAAGGAGGCTGGCGCAGACTGTTGGGCAAGGGCCATATTGCCAACGGCACTGAGCAGCCGGACGACGTTCAGCCAGGCCAGGCCCCAAAGAGGATGGGCAGCCTCAGTTCTCCAGGGCATCCAAGCTGCAGGAAAGGGCACCCTAGCACTGAGAGGCTTGGGGGAGAGAGGGAGGGGGCTCGGGGCCTCAGCGTACAAGCACCACCACTGGCCTCGACCCCCCATCCCAGCAGACCCCCCCCCAAAAAAGGGACGCAGGACAACAGGCAGGCAGGACCTGTCTATTGTTCCCTGAGAAGCTGTCCAGGTTGTGTCTAGGTCCTGCCCCCTACGTACAGAGACCCCAAGAGGCTCCTTTGAGTCAGGATGACCTCCTCGGGAAGGGGGCTGCCCCGGGCGGCCACCCCGGGAGAGACACTCATTCTGGTGCCTGCAAGAACTCGGAGGTGAACACGGCTTCTGCGTAGTCCTCACAGAGGTCCTGGAGCTCTGTCGCCACCTCTGCCAGGGCCTCCTCCATCAGCTCCTCGGCCAGGCTGAAGGGAGCAAGGAGACGGAGGTCAGCGGCCGGAGCCGGGCCACTGGGAGGGGAGGGGGGCTGCAGCTCAAAGCAAGGCCAGGCTACCGGCGCCCACCTGGCCAAAGCCCCTGTGCTCAGGGACAGGAGCATGGGTCCTTCCCACCGGGGGTAAAAGCGGAAGAGGGGGAGAGGGACAAGGGATCCGGACCCTCCAGCCCTCCCCGCACAAGCACACCTCTGCCTGCTGGGATGGCTGAGAAGGGACAAGGGCCTGGAAGAGGCGGAAGGAAAGGAGGACGGAGTGCCACGCAACCCACAAAAGGCAGAAGCCCCAGGAGGCAGACAAGCACGCAGGGGGTCCTCCCATCAGCAGGTGNACCCACAAAAGGCAGAAGCCCCAGGAGGCGGACAAGCACGCAGGGGGTTCCTCCCATCAGCAGGCGGTTTACAAGCAGGCGAGAACTCTGCCAGAGGGACCCCCCCCCCCGGTGCGCTGAAAAGTGGAGCGGCCACTGTCTCTAGAGATGGGCTCCGGGGAGCTGCTCCACCACAGGGAGAGTGTGTGCGTGCGTATGTGCGCATGTGGAATTGGGCCCCGTCCAGAAGAATGTTCTTTAACATCAATAGGTCTGATCGCTCGGTCAATAAAACCCTAACAATGGCTACGTCGTTCCGACGTTCCGCTGACGGTTGTCCTGCGCTATTTTTATATTCTTTAACAGGCCTGCCTTCAAAGTCGCAACCCCTCTAATGTACGAAAGAAGCTCCTCAGTCATAGGAGGGTGGCAGCCGTGGGAGCCCCTGGAGGGAAACCAAGGAGGAGGGCTGGAAAGGCCGGTTCATATTCTCTGGCGTGGGTTCGTTCCTGCCCGTCTCTTGAGTCTGTGGCCTTCGGGGGCAGGGGCCGGCTAGACCCACTGACTCTTGGGTGGGTTGAAAGGGAGACGGCTGATCTCACCGTGGATTCCCTGCTGCCGGGTTAACATACTGGGGCCAAAAAAAAACAGTGGGGGCCACGCACAGGTGGTGGGAGGGGCCTCTGGATTGCTCAATATTTTGGGGGGGAAGTCCAGGACCGCCCCTTGATGGCCCCGCCAGGCATTTCCTCCTTCCTTCCACCTTCTTCTCCAAAGCCCACCCGACTCCCTTGCACGCCATCCCTCAAGGGCAGCCCCCCAGGGTTACCTCTGCGTGATGTGCCAGGGGTCGAAGGTGCCCACAGGTGCATGGGAGATGCGCTTCAGGTGCTGCTCGTAGCGGGCCCCGTAATCGCGGATGCTCTGGAGGGTGCTCACGGGGACAGAGCAAAAGACGCCGCCATCACCGCTGTTCCTCTGGGGAGGGAGGTGCTGTGCGGATGGATGCTCAGCCCCATGGCCCGGGGGCTCTGGGAAGTCCTCCTCTTGCACAGTGCTGGATGCACCACCGGGAAGGAGCAGGAGGAGGAGCGAGGGCTCAGGGCCAGGCCAGACACAAAAGGGCTGCCTGAGTCCAGATTGTAAGTCCACAACAACCCCCCCCCCAGCCCCGTAGAGCGCTCCACACCCCGGCTGGTCCTCTGCCCCTCGGCTGAGCCTGCCTGCGACTGGTAGGATGTGGCCCCCTTTAGAGTGAAGCTCACAGGGGGGCCACTCATGGTCCCTGTCCTGGGCGGGCGTCCCTTTTCAGCTAGGGGGGCTTGAAAGCTCCCTCACCCCTCCAGAGAGGCCCAGGGAACGCTGTCATGAGGCCAGAAGTCCAGAGAGGCTGGGGGGGCAGTGGGGGTCCTCTTCCCGTGGCCCTAAGCATGAGAAGCCAGCGCCCCTTTCCGCTCCTTGCCTTGGGAAGACTCTCCCTCACACTGGGCTTTGGGATTCTTTGAGGGGCCCCTCAGCCGGTCCCCCTTGGGCCAGCATGAGAGGCTCCCTCCGGCCTTCCCGCTGGGGCTTCAACACAAGCTCCCCCCCCCCCGGGGGTGCTTTGACTCCCTGGGCCCC